AGAATTCCCTCAGTTTGGGTTTCCATTATTGATTCTACTTCTACTTTGGTCCTAAATGTTTTTATTCATTTCTTGTCACTGTTTTTGTGTTTTCATAGATTTCTTTTTTTCAAGACAGAGTTTCTCTGTGTAGCTTTGGAGCCTGTCCTGAATCTCACTCTGAAAACCAGGCTGGCCTCAAAATCACAGAGATCCACCTGCCTCTGCCTCCTGGGTGCTGGGACTAAAGGCGTGCGCCATCGCCACCCAGCTCATAGATTTCTTTAAGGGATTTGTTCATTCCTTCTTTAAGAACTCTATCATATACATAAAGGCTGTTTTAAGGTCTTTTACTTGTGCTCCAACTATGTTGGAATTCTCTGCTGTGGTAGGGCTACTGGGCTGTAATGAAGACATATTATCCTGGCTGTTGTTGATTGTGTTTTTACACTGGGTCTAGGCATCTGGGATTAGGAAGATTTTAATTCTAGGTGCTGATATCTGGTCTTGTCTTTGTTTGGTGGGTATTTTATTCTGTGGTTTCTGTTGCCCTCTCTAGTTCTTAGGAAGAGTGCGGTCACTCTGTGTTGCCTGGTAGGAAAATCTTCTGGTGTCCTGATAGGTGTTGACACTGGATGTTCCAGATAAAATGTGTTTCTGGGTAGGGACCTACTCACAACTCCAGGGAGGCTACCTAGAAAACAGGACCCTAAGAAAGACACAGGGATCCCCCAACGACAGAGAAATGGATGAGATCTACATGAGCAAACTGGACGTGAGGAGGGGTAATGAAGGGCAAGGATTGAGGGAAAGAGAGCTTAGGGGAGCGGGAGATCCCAGCTGGATCAAGAACAGAGAGGGAGAACAAGGAAAAAGAGACCATGGTAAATGAAGACCACATGAGAAAAGGAAGAAACCAAGTGCTAGAGTCCCACAGAAATCCACAAAGATACCCCCACAATAGACTACTGGCAATGGTCCAGAGAAAGCCCGAACTGACCTACTCTGGTGATAGGACGGCCAAACACCCTGTATGCTAGAAACCCCATTCAATGACTGATGGAAGCGGATGCAGGGATCCACGGCCAGGCCCCTGGTGGAGCTCCGGGAGTCCAATCGGTGAGAAAGAGGAGGGATTGTATGATTGAGAATTGTTGACACTATTATTGGAAAAAGCACAGGGACAAATAGCCAAACTAGTGGAAAAACATGAACTATGAACCAATAGCTGAGGAGCCAACAACTGGATCAGGCCCTCTGGATAAGTGAGACAGTTGATTAGCTTGAACTGTTTAGGAGGTCCCCAGTCAGTGGAACCCGGACCTGTCCTTAGTGCTTGAGCTGGCTGTTTGGAACCTGGGGCCTATGCAGGGACACTTTGCTCAGCCTGGGAGGAGGGGACTGGACCTGCCTTGACTGAATCTACCAGGTTGAGCTGAATCCCCAGGGGTGTCCCTGCCCTGGAGGAGATGGGAATGGGGGGGTGGCTTGGGGAGAAGGGGGGCGGGAGGAGGGAGGACAGGGAAATCCATAGCTGATATGTAAAATTAAATTAAATTATAAAAAAACTTAGGAATGGGCGTGGGCTGAGGTGGTGTAGGGGCTTCGGAGGAATGAGGAAAGGAGGGGGTTCCACCCGGATTTGTTTAGTTAGTCCCCTGGGAATGAGGGCGCAGAGTGTGAAGAGGCTACAGCAGGAGGTCTGCTACAGAGCTGGGGATGAGACTGGGGGATTGCATTTGGAGAAATAGAAGGAGAAGTGAAGATCTTCAGTCAGCCTACCTGCTTCCATGGTCAGAGTGGCCTGTGGTGTTGGAGTTGGGGGCTGGTATCAAGCAATGAGTGGAGGTAAGGAAGGTTGGAGGGGGAAGATCTGTGTGATCCCCTGGAGATGGGTACAGGAGGGGGGAGGCTGCCGCAGGTGGTCTGCTGCAGATCTGGGGATGAGACTGGGGTACTGGACTTGGAGGAGCAGAGGGAGAGGTGAAGATGTACAGTTAGCTTACGTATTTTCCTGACCAGAGTGCATCTCTTAGTTTTCTGACATTTCTACAGCTGTGTCTCTGTGTTCTAGTGTCATCGTCGCAGTGTCTGTAAAGACCAGTTCTATGTAACTCTGTGTCTGTGTGTGCATGCCTCATCATTGACTCTATTCTTTGCGCCAGCTTTCCTGTGTCTCACTGCCAGTTTACCTTGGCATATGTGTATCCCAGGGTTTACTTTTTCCAATGTATCCTTGTGTCTCAGAGGTATCTTAAAGCCTCCTGTCTCTACACCGCCGCATTTCTTTGTTCTAGTGTTAGTACTTTGTTTCGGCTCCGAGATTAGTTTCCCATATGTTTCATTTTTTTGTGCCAGCTCTTTGTGTTGTAGTATCTCAGGTACTGTGTGTTCCTTTGTGTACATATACCAGTGTCTCTGTGTACCAGCATTTGGTACTATCTATTGCCTCTGTAGTTCTGTGTATCTGACACCTGTCATAGAGCTTATGTGTGTTAAATATTTATTCATGCCAGTGTGTCTGTGTGTTTTAGTGGCTATGTATGTTTTCCTTTGTCTGTATGAATCATAATATTTGTATGACAAGCACTTGAATTTTGTCTACATAATTCAGTTTCCTAAGATTTATGTATACCAAGGTTTCTGTGTCCTGGTGTCTGTGGTTTCTATGGTATGCTGTGATCTATAATCTGTATGTCCTTGGTTGTCAGTAAGTCTATGAGTGTCTGTTTCGAACTCTTAATACTTCTCCATGCCATAAATTCTATCAGTCTCTGTGTACCAACAATGGCCTCTCTCTGGGTATCACTATGACACTATATTCTTTACTTCTGCCCTTGTCTCCACATGCTCTGGCTGTATGTTTCAATGCTTCTGTATCCTTACCCTTGAATGTACCTGAGATTTAGCATGTCCCAAGCTTCTTTGCTAGTGTCTGTGTCTTCCTGTCTCTGTGTGCCCACAAAGCTCATGTCTCACTGCCTGCTTCTCTAGTGAGTTGCTATTGTTGCAGTGCACGTGTGTGTGTGTGTGTGTGTGTGTCCCCTTTTCTGTGTAGCACTTAGTTTTTGTGTATTCCCGATTATCCACCAGTGATTCTTTACATGTTTCCCAATTTCTGTATATTCATAATTCTTCATATGTCTTTGAATCTTTGTGCATCCCTGAGTCTGTATATGCAGAACCTTTACATGGCTTGAGTGTGTTTTCATGCTACCTACTGGCTACACAAGGTGACTGGGTACCCAGCAGCCTCTGTATTCCACTCTCAATTTGTTCCTATCTCTGTGTGGCCCTGACTCTTTGCATATACTGGACACTCTGTGATCCAGCACGTGTTCCTGTCTTCTTGTGTCTGTGTGTCCCTGAGTTCCTTTATTCCGGTGTCCACATGCTCATGGTCTGCATATGCTGCCTTCCATGTGCCCGATAACAAAGAGTCCCCAAGTCTGTACATCTCCAGAACTTCCTCTCTCATGTCTAAACCTCTGTGCTCTGCTAGTTCTGTTCTCCATCTCTCTCCCCCACACTTTGTCAATGTCTCTGTGTGACTACTTATAGTACTGAACCTGTGCTCTCCTAGTCCTCGAGTCTTTGTCGTGGGTCCCACGTGAGAGTAGTCCTGTTTCTGTGAATTTATTTGTCTCAGTATTTCTCTGCATCTCTTTCTTTTTGTCTCATTGTCCTTGGTTCCACGTCTTTGCCTCCCTATTTTGTCTAGGGTCTGGAGCCATGCTTTTGAATCATAACCTACTACCTTTATGTGCTTAGGTTGAAGTCACTGTTCTTATCCCTTCATTTGTAGCCTTGGTTTGCCACCTGATATATGTCTCTGCTATAGGTGTCCTCAGGTTTATCCTGATTCAATGTCATCGCATCCCTACCCTTCTCATCATCCTCTGCCTCCTGACCTATATTCTGTGTCTAGTTTTCTTTCTTTCTATCTCCACCTTTCCAGGCATATCTATCTATTTCTGTTTCCAAATCGGCCCTACGTTCACGTGACTAGATTTGTGGGTTCACATTCCCGTCTACTACTTCTCTGTCTCTGAGTCTGCTGTCTGTGCATCACAGTGCCCCATGGTCCCTGTGCTGGTAGCTGCCTCCCCTTCTGTCTGTGCTGTCTGGCCTGATGGCTATCTCTTTCCCGTAGTTTTCATTGTTCAGGGGTTTTCTCCCTTTGTTTCTAGATCTTGGAGTATGCGGATCTCTGATGTTGACTCATTCTTCTTCCGCAGGTGCTGATATCACTGGATCTTTGCCATTGCATCTGGGACTCCGCAATGTCTGTTTCCACATCTTGCGTGTGTGTCTCTGGGTTATCATTTCATCCCTACCTATGTCTGCAAATCAGATTGTCAGTATATTTCCGTGTTTCTACTTTTTCCATCCTTGGCTGGTTTTTGGACTGTGATCCTGCCAGTGTCTTCCTGGTTATCTTTGTATCTTTGTGTTTCTGTGATCTTAATATCTTTGCTCCAGTCTGGATCTCTGTGCCGGTTCGTTTGTAATTTGTCATGTCTCGTTCTTCACATTTGCCACTGTGCCAAAGTCATCTCTTCTTTTTGTCTCTTTGCATTTCTGTGAAGGGACAGTAACTTAAAGTCACAGGAACATTGAACCCCAGCAAGAAAACATATGTTTCTGTCTCTGATACAGTCACTCTGGCACTCTGGCCTCTTTATCTCTTTGTGTCCGTATATTCATGTTTTTCTTTTTATTGCTGCTGCTGTTGTTGCTTGAGACAGGTCCTTGTCACGGAGCTCAGGTTGGCCTCAAACTCACTATGTAGCTCAGATTGGCCTTGAAATTAAAGCCACCTTCCTGCCCCAGCCTGCCAAATGCTGAGATTACAGGCATGTGGCCCCACGCCCAGCTGTCCATGTTTCATTGTTCTGCGTCCCTGTACTTTCGGTGACCATGTCTCCTCTGTCACTGTACTTCCATATTCGTGTCTTTGTGGCTGGTGACCTATGTCTTTGGTTGCATGCTTACTGCGATTCAATGGCTATTCTTGTACATTCATTTATTCTACACATATTTATTAAGCACCTGCCATGTGCCATGAACTGTGGCTACAGAGGATCCAGAACAGATTCTTGCTCTCAGAGAGCTTACAGGCTTAGCCAGGATCCAGATGAGGAAACAGATGATTACTAGACAGTATGAAAACTGCTATGAGATCAGGCAGGACATAAAGCAGGTGCCACGCTCACCTCATGGAAGGCCCAGGGAATGCCTTCTAGGAGAGGGGGTAACTAAGACTTGAAAGATGAATTGAGTTTACCTAGATGGGGGAAGAGTGTCCCACACAGAAGGTGGAATACACATAGAAGTGCAGTGGTGGGGACCATCATAGCTTACTAGGGAAATCCCAAGAGCTAGGAGTACATCGTAGGCATAAGGGAACGCCGTGAGCAGGACTCATGACTCAGTGAGACTTTGGCTTTAGGAAAGGCAGTCTGTGGGCTATGAAAAGAGAAAATGAAGTTGGGAAGGTGAGGTGGAGGTAGGGTGGGGGATTCTGAGAGGAACAGATGGGGGTATGGAGGGGTTGATGAGGTCAAAGTCCATTGTACACATGTGCGGAATTCTCAAGGAATGAAAAAAAAGGAAAGTCACTTCCAGGGCTAATGTGAATTTGGAGGGGGCAGAGAGTATAAAGAAGAACCACGAGGTGAGCATACTAAAGCTTTTAGGCCTGAAGTTCTGCTTAGCTCTATATTTGTCCCTTAGCACATGTATAGGCGGCCTTTATGTGCACTTCCATGTACCCAGGCCTGTGTCCTGGTTGACTCCATGCCCTAGCCTCTGGATCTACAAATTTAGACCCCCTGGCTCTAGGTCCAGGAGCCATCACAGAACATAGGCAAGGTAGGGCCGACCCAGCAGCCGTTCCACATGAGAGCGTTTCACCAGCCAGCAGGAAGTCCAGCGGGGATGAAGCCTTGGTGACACTTTCAGCAGCTTCTTGCCTAGTACCGCTGGCACATCTGGGCCCTGGTGCTTCTGTATGTAGGACCCAGTAGGTCCTGTTACCAGCCGGATATCTGTGTGCTGAAACTGTCCTGAGGGAGAGAAGATGGAGCAGCAGTTAGAGCTCCGAGGAGGCCTGAAAGCAAGGAATCTAGGAGGAACGTGGCAGGGTGGAGCATCTGGCCTGCAGGAGGGGAGAGGCTGGACACCATGGAAACCATGGAAGAGCCCGATGGGACAGGGCTGTGGTGTGGACGTGGACAGTCAAGATAGCAGAGATAAAGAGAGCAGCTGGGCTTGGAGAAGACAGGAAGATACAGGGGAAGAAGAGGTTCAAGGAACCTCAGGGAGGTGAAGATATCTGTCTGACTGATGGTCGCTGGCCTCAGGTGCTGCCAGGGTCTTCAGACTTCTTATAGTCTGGCTCCCTACAGCCCGCTTTCACAGAAGGCTCAAGATGCAGATGGTGCTTTATAATACTAAGAGCTTGCTGTGTCTTTCTCTGTTTAGAACCTTTCATGGCTTCCCCCTCCCATGGTGCCTTTGAGATAAAGTAAAATTCCTCAACTTGACGCTCAGCTTGATCATGCCGGCAGGCAGGCGCTAGCTCCTCCCAGTCTCCATTCCTTTCCCCCACGCTGCTCCTGCTTAGCTTGCTTAGCCGCGCGGCTGCAATGCCCTCCCTCTTCAGGGAGGTCTTTCTTGAGCTCCGAGACCCCGTGGGATATTGTAGCTTCCTGTGCAGCTCACTGGACACTCGCCACTCCTGGTGATCACTATTCTATGGCTGACTCTTTCCTTTTCCCGTGTCAGGAGCATCCCAAAGGCAGAGTTTGGTTTTCATTTCTCTTCAGAGTTGAGAGCACTGAATGTGAGGGGCCCACTAGACCTTCATCCTAAAAAAGGTTTCTGGGCTGGAGAAAAGGCTCAGAGGTTAAGGGCACTTGCTGTCCTTGCAGAAGTCCTGAGTTTGGTTGCCAGCACCCACATAGGCTCACAAACTTCTTCAGCTCAGGGAATCTGAGAAGGCCCTCTTTTGGCCTCTGAGGTTACCCAGCATACACACGGTGCACACACACACATATGTGCAGGCAAAACATTTATATACATAAAAATAAAAAGAAAGAAGGAAAGAAAGAAAGAAAAAGAAAGAAAGAAAGAAAGAAAGAAAGAAAGAAAGAAAGAAAGAAAGAAAGAAAGAAAGAAAGAAAGAAAGAAAAGAGGTTTCCGTTAGGACTGGTACACCATAGTTCCTTTCAACCTCAGCAGCACTTACCCATCAGGCCACGGGCTGAGGGGCTGAGGCCTGAGCCATTGGCCACATAGAACCCCAAATGGGGTAGTTGTAGTGTGCTGGGGTGTCTGTAGTGGTGACGAAGGATGAGGAAGTTGAGGTGGGGCCCAAGTTGGAGGGTGAGATGGTCTGCAGAAGCGACATGGAGCTCCAGTTGGGGCTTCTTCACCAGGGCAGGTTGGTCCCAGCGTAAGTTCAAGGTACCCTCACCTTGCACAGATATGGAACTGCGGCTTATTGTAATAGTGTAGGCCCGGGGTTTATCTGAAGTGATTGTGATGATCTGGAAGTATGTACGGGTCTGGTCCTCATGGCCTGGCCTTGGTGGTGCTCCAAGCAACTTCCCACTCACATGCAACCCTGTAAGGGGGAGATGCAACATAGAGCACACAGGCTTCCATCCCAGCATGCACATGGTGACCCACTGCACAGGCAGGTGTGAGGTCTTAGGTCCCAGGGTTTAGATGATATAATTCAGATTTGTGGCTAGAATGCTCTCTCTCACGTGGAAATGCTTCCACCATGGTCCATCCTGAGCTGTGTGTAAGGGGAGCATGTACACAATGCTTATCCTAATGTGACTATTTACATGTATATGTGAATATTTGCCCATTGCTGTATAAATCTGTGTGTTTGGTTATATTCTGATGAAGATCTCTGGGAATATCAGTGCATCCACATGTTTGAAGAAGATGGCATGTTACAATGTGTATTTTTGGTTGCATGATTATATGTGCCTCTGGATATGTTGATGGTCTATGTCTTGGCTGGTTGTAAGATATGTTGGCATGTATGAAGTGTCAGAACGCATGCACCTAGATGCATGCCAGTGTGTATCAGGTGACTATTTCTGTGCACTAGTGTATTTCATGTGTCTGATGTGGCAGGGAGTATGTGCTACTTCTATGCATTTGATTCCTGGAAATCGGGATGAATCTGGAAGCAACAGGGCTTCTATGTCTGAATGTGTTGATGTGTGTGGGTTACTGTGTGGTACATATTTGCATATTTTTGGGTGGGTATGTGGAATGTCAAAATAATTTACCATATACCCTGGTATGTATCTCTGACTATCTTAGTGTTTTTACAAATGTGCTTGTTTTCATTTTTTTGTACTTTTACATGTTATTTATTTCATTTTTGATTTATTTATTTTTGAGACAGCCTCTCACTATGTAGCCCTGGCTGTCCTGGTACTCACTATATAGACCGGGCTGACCTCGAACTCACAGAGAATCCTTCTGCCTCTGCCTCCTGACAACTGGGATTTAAGGCATGTACCACTATGCCTAGCTTTAGATTTATCTATGTATTTTTTATGTGTGTGAATATTTTGCCAGCATGTATGTATGCATACCATGTGCATGTCTGGTGCCTATGGAGGTCAGAAGAGGGTGTGAGATCCCCTGGAACTGGAGTTACAGATGTTTGTGAGTCATATGTTTGCTTTCCTATGTATTCTTGTATATTACAAGGTACTATACATAATTATTATTTTATGTTATAAAATACAAATATATAGAGCATATAATATTTATATTATACATATATGCATTATACACATATTATATCATCTGTGCATATATGTGTGTATGTATATATGTACATACTCTGGGCCTCCAGAATTGTAAGCCAACACAAATTCTCTTTATAAAATAGTGCCCCAGTATATAAAATATACCATTATTTTATATACTCTACTATAAGGTATATATAGTAAAGTGCTAAATGTCTAGGGTTGTTAACATGAGAACACCCAGCTGTGGTCTTGTGTGGGAATGGAGTCCTTGGGGTTCTCACCTGCCTTAGGGTCCTCTATAAGCTGCAATAGGTCCCCTGGGCGCCCATCCAGTGTGAAGCAGATCTTCTCTCCTGAGTGAGGAATGTGGATCACAAAGTGGGGGTCCCCATCCACTGTAAGGCAGGATATGGAACTCTGAAGTTATGAGTCTTGAAGGAATGGGAGAAAGGAGAGTGAAGGAGAAGAGGAGAATGGAAGAGTGTCTGTTTTCAAGAAAGAGGAAGAGGGGAGAAGAAGAGGGAGAGGGAAAAAGAAAGAGAGGGAGAGGAAGGGAAGAAGGGAAGAAGGGAGGGAGGGAGAGGGAGAGGGAGAGGGAGAGGGA